GCTGGCAACTTTTCAGCGATTAATGGAATTGGTCTTGGCTGGGTTGCAATGGGATTCATGTTTGATTTATTTAGACGATGTCATCGTCTTCAGTAAAACATTCGACGAACACCTCCAGAGGTTGCGTGCGGTTTTCCTCAAAATGCGGGCTGCTAATTTGAAATTCAAACCCCAGAAATGTCATTTGCTATGCGAATCAGTGCGGTATTTGGGCGACATTGTCGGACGCTCAGGTATTGCTACTGATCCCGCCAAAACGCAATGTGTCAGCTCCTGCCGACTCCCACCTCCGTGGGAGAGGTCAGGAGTTTCGTTGGATTCGCGTCATACTACCGACGTTTTGTCGCTGATTTCACGACAAATGCAAAGCCCTTACATGCCTTAACATTGAAGGGGGTCAGGTTTCACTGGGGACAGGAGGAGGAGGCTGCTTTTCGCTCCCTCCGGGACGCTCTAGTGGGGGCTCCGCCATTGATTTATCCTGACTTCACTAAACCCTTTTTGCTCGATACGGACGCGAGCAACACGGGCATTGGGGGCGTGCTTTCGCAGGTTGTTGACGGCGTGGAACGTGTGGTGGCGTACGGCAGTCGGGTGTTGCCTCCGGCGGAACACAGATACTGTGTTACCCGTCGGTAACTATTGGCAATTGTTAACTTCATTCAACAGTATCGCCCATATCTGTACGGTCGTCATTTCACCGTCCGCACAGATCATGCGGCGCTGCAGTACGCCTTGCGAGTTCAACAGCCATCGGGGCAATTGTCTCGATGGTTGGAGATTCTCCAGGATTTCGATTTTGACACTACGTATCGTAAGGGCGTTCGCCACACGAATGCAGACGCTCTGTCACGGTTACCAACCACCTCCGAGTGCGCATGCCTCCTGGGTTCGGGGCATTGCAAGCCTCTGAATGGGATATCTGATCCGGTCCTGGCGGCCGCCGCTGACGCGCCTTCGAGTACGGGTCCTATTGAGCAACAGGGGAGGGATTCCTTGCTGGGGTTGTCTGTTGCGGAATGGGGGCGCCTCCAAATGGAGGACACCTCCCTCCTCGCTTTGCGCCGTCGCATCGGGGGAGCTGGTCGAGGGGGGGAAAATGTCGACTCGTGGGGGTTGGTTCAAGGTCTGTTGATGCATTGGGACAGGAGATCCCGCCGACACCGGCTGGTGGTGCCTTCCGCTTTGAGCGGTAGAGTGGTGTGGGCTGCGCACGAGCGAATCCTTCACCTGGGGACTCACAAAACCCTTGCCATGCTTCAGCTGGATTTTTCTTGGCCGGGCATGGCAAGGGACGTCGAGGATCTTTTAGGGTCGTGTACTCAGTGCGCGCAACGGAAACCAACAGCGCGGGGGTCAAACCCACCATTGCAGTCTATCAAAGTTTCCAGGGTTAACGAGCTCGTTGCGCTTGATATTCTAGGCCCATTCCCCGCTACACCCAGGGGAAATAGATACCTATTGACCGGGGTAGAATATTTTATGCGCTGGCCTATGGCCTGGCCCCTCGCCAACCAGTGGGCAGCAGCCATCGCGGAGACCTTTGTCCAGGGCTACGTCCTCGACAAAGGTGCTCCGGAGCTGCTGCTGACCGACCAGGGTAAACATTTTTCTGGTAAACTTCTCCATGAAGTCTGCGAGCTCCTGGGAACGAAAAAGATTCGTACCTCCCCATATCATCCGCAAACTGACGGGATGGTGGAGCGTCTGCATCGGACTATCACGTCCATGCTGTCCCAACAGGTCTCTGACTCACAGACCGATTGGGACCTTCAGATTCCGGGGGTTTTGGCGGCATACAGAATGGCTCCCCATGCGGCGACCGGATTTTCGCCCTTCTTCCTGATGTACGGCCGCGAGCCTAACCCACCTGTTCCGACTCAGCTGCAGATCTCCACGCCGCAGGGTAAATCTAAATTGGCCGAACATTTTAAATTCAACATCGCTAAATTGACAGAGGCACGGGAGGCGGCCATGCAGAATTCGGACCTCCGCCAGGAGGTTAATGAGAGGCTCAGGCTGGGTCAGGCGCATGTGCTTCAGTGGAAACCGGGTGACAAGGCGTGGTTGCACTGTCCCCAAGTACCACTGGTGACCTCGTCTAAGCTGGTGCGGCCGTGGCGGGGTCCCGTGGAAGTGGTGCAGGTTTTGCGGCCACAATGTGTGCGTATCAAATGGGGGAAGCGTCGGTGGTTCGTGCACCCCTCCAGATTGAAACCATTCGTTGCGGCCCATGTTCCCACTTCACACACGCGTGGCCAAACATGTGAGGGGTCCACCGACTCCCGGAGTCCGACTTCGCTGCTTTCACCTAACTTGCCGCCAACTGTTCCACCTTCAGGTGCACCGGGATTGACGTGCTCACGACCGCCAACCCCTCCCGGGGGGGTCGGGGGTCACTCAGCAGCGAAGCCTGACTCTTTCGCAACCGGACTGTTGACACCCACCACTGGGCCAACCGGGGTTGCCCCGTGTGACGGGCCCGCTGCAAGAACGCGCGCCAAAACGCGCAGACTTTTGTGAGGTCCTGGAAATTGTATATATGTTGCGTTTTTTTTTACGGGATTCGGTATTTATTCAAGGGGGTGCGTCGGGTTATTTTCTCTTTCCTGTTGTTATTGTTCATTTTTGTCGTTGTTCTTGTTAAAATTACGCGAGGCACACACGGATTTGGGGGGGATACATCTTTATTGTTATTCTGTTGCAGCCGGGACGGCTGCGAGCTGTACAGGGGGGGGGGGGGGGTGATGTAGGGGTGTTACGGAGGGGGTGTTATACAGTTGTCTCGAATGGTAAACAAACACACTGGGCGTGGCTATGTCTGTACGCGAGGAGGTGCTTACAGCAACGTCCGCACCGTTCAGCCTGGGAGGCTGACACGGAGCTGGGATCCCCCGCGGCCCCACCCCTCAGCGGGGGAGTTGATATAAGGGGATGAGCCGGAGGGCTCGAGGCAGTGTGTATTGAGCTTAACCAGTGAAGAAGGAAGATTTACTAGATAGGCCCTGGGACTCCCCTGGATCGCTGCCCTTCTCAGGGCCGATCAGGGCAAGCCAGTGGCGTGGCCCCGAGAGCCCAGAGCCGATGCTCTTGTCAGAGCCGGTCTGGGGACTCAGGGTGCCGTAATCCCAGCTTAACCAGGGCTGGGTTAGCTAGCCTCCCCTAGCCCTATAGTGGAGGACCTAGGAGTAGGCTAGGTGTAGCCTAGAGCGTGACTTCCCAGTTAGACGGGTGAAGGGGCTGATACCCCTTCCAGTGTTGTACGTCCCGGCCTGTCCTGTACTTTGTACTTAATAAATAAGTGTGCCTCCAACTCCGACCTCCAAGTCTCCTTGAAGCATACTACATATGCACTGTCCTTGAAGTTGATTGGTCCACACCCGAGACAGCTTTCCTTGAGCCTAGTCTCACATGGTGTTGGACCACATGACGCCAAAAGGCGCACCAACACCATGTGAGACTAGGCTCTAAGGAAAGCTGTCTCGGGTGTGGACCAATCAACTTTAAGGACAGTGCATACATTATCAGAGTTATGTTTTTTGTTTGCATTATGACTGCAGGTATTGTGGTCTATGCAAACATGACTCCTTGTAAAAAAGGTGTCAGTTTTGTTGCCAGATAAAAGGGTAAAAAAACAATTATCAGACAGCCATGTCAGTCTTTTTACTACTTTTTATGCAATATATAGGATACTAAGGCTAAGCACACCCGAGGATTGCACTTTTCTTAAAAAATGAAGCTGTCAAAATTTGGCCATTGGCCAAAACGGCCTTAGTATGCCGATTTTCTATATTGGGACGTGAACATTTCATCATAAAATGTTCCACTTTTAATCTAATACATAGCATACTAAGAGTAAATACAATAGAGGAATTAACTTTCGTCCAAAAATAAAGCTGTGAAAGTTGGGCTTATTTGGCTTAAAATCGGCACAGTATGCCGATTTACTTTTTGATATTCGAAAATTTAAAGCATGAATTTCCCCACTTTTTAACGTAATATATCGGCTACTCAGGCTAAACACAACCAAGGAATGCACTTTCGTTGAAAAATAAAGCTCGGAAAATTGGGCCAATTTTGCTAAAAAAACAGCATAGGTTGGTATGGCGATTATCTTTTTATGGACGTGAAAATGTCATCGTGAAATGTCGCCAGCGGTGTGCTGGAGAGCCAAGCCACAACATCTACAATGGAGGTCGTCACGGCACACGAGGGGGTGGGTGGCCAGCACCACGCCCGGCCGCCTTTGTCTCCCTAGTGGCGATGTTGACACACCGCACCGGGGACTCGTTTGAGGCCGAGTCGACACTGCCGCTCCCCTTCTATCAACAAACTTGAACTCTGACCCCGCACTCTGACGTCACCGCGCAGCGTGACCTCATCGGCGTCAAACGCCAGGGGGAGGTGTGCCTCGCTAGTAACGTCAAGTCACCTGCCCCTACCACCGCTCTCTTGAGCGTGACGTCACCTCCGCTCGGCCGCTGCCGATATCTGTTCCAGTGCCAATCCTTGTTTGGGAAAAGCTACGCCCGGTAACTGGCGGCTCATTAACATAATTTATTCGTGAAAGCCGTCGCGAGTTGAGAGCCACTCATTGTGGGAGGGGAGTGTCATCGTACCCCGCAAGTGACGTCATGTCACCTGCTGCCGCGTGACGTCGCGAGGGACCAGGAAGTTGCCGCTCCGCCTGTGCACTGAAATCCGAGGTGAGAAATTCTCATCGCGGTTGTGGTGGTGGTTGTGGTGGTGATTGTGGTGGTTGTGGTGGTGGTGGTTGTGGTTGTTGTTTACCGAGGTAGAGCCTCGCTCTCTCTCTCTCGTAGGGATGTCATTTGAGTAGCAGCGAGCATGGAAGCGATGTCCAGGTTGGCCTTGCATCCTGCCCTCGGCTGATCGCGTTTGCTTCAATTATCTCACTTAAGTTGAATTGTCTTCACCCAGCTCGCCACTTTGTAACTTTGTTTTACTTTAAATATTAACACAGTTTTTATTTTTACCAGGCCAAGCCCGCTTGAGCTGCTGTACCGCTCTTGTTTTCAGAAGCGACCTGCCCACAACAACAACAACAAGGTGGGGCTCGTCAACAGCGTGGTGGTGTTCACTCTGGACGCGTGGTGGTGTTCACTCTAGACGCGTGGCGGTGTTCACTCTGGATGCGTGGCGGTGTTCACTCTGGACGCGTGGCGGTGTTCACTCTGGACGCGTGGCGGTGTTCACTCTGGACGCGTGGCGGTGTTCACTCTAGACGCGTGGCGGTGTTCACTCTGGACGCGTGGTGGTGTTCACTCTAGACGCGTGGCGGTGTTCACTCTAGACGTGTGGCGGTGTTCACTCTGGACGCGTGGTGGTGTTCACTCTGGACGCGTGGTGGTGTTCACTCTGGACGCGTGGCGGTGTTCACTCTAGACGCGTGGTGGTGTTCACTCTAGACGCGTGGTGGTGTTCACTCTAGACGCGTGGCGGTGTTCACTCTGGACGCGTGGCGGTGTTCACTCTGGACGCGTGGCGGTGTTCACTCTGGACGCGTGGCGGTGTTCACTCTGGACGCGTGGCGGTGTTCACTCTAGACGCGTGGTGGTGTTCACTCTAGACGCGTGGTGGTGTTCACTCTGGACGCGTGGCGGTGTTCACTCTAGACGCGTGGCGGTGTTCACTCTAGACGCGTGGTGGTGTTCACTCTAGACGCGTGGTGGTGTTCACTCTGGACGCGTGGCGGTGTTCACTCTGGACGCGTGGCGGTGTTCACTCTGGACGCGTGGCGGTGTTCACTCTAGACACGTGGCGGTGTTCACTCTAGACACGTGGCGGTGTTCACTCTGGACGCGTGGCGGTGTTCACTCTGGACGCGTGGCGGTGTTCACTCTGGACGCGTGGCGGTGTTCACTCACTAGAGAGAGAGGCACGCAGTCTCGGCTGTGTTGGTTGATCCTCAATGAATTACTTGGTGGAGTGAGGAAGCATTAATACTGAGCAGGTGAAGGTGGCCAAGCGTGGGCCTGGATTCACCACCACCTGTGAACCATGTCACTGAAAAACCCTGAAAAATGTATTCTTGTAAAAAAGAAAAAAGCTGAAAGAAATCAATTTAACTAAATCGGATGTTTTTCACTGAAGGAAATTTAACCGTAACCCACTTCTACGTAATGTCGATTTTGGCAACTCGGGAAGGGAATGACGTGGCAAGCTGAAAATAGTCGCGTTCACTTAGAAATTTCAGACGACATAAGCTGTGCAAATTTCATGCCGCCAGAGCTCAGCGTTGGAGAGGCTTTGCTGCTTCACACAAACAAACAGATGTAATTTCTGCTTTATACTTAAGATAGCAGTTGTACCCGTTCTTCACACGGATATGTATTGAAACTTCGAGAAGCCAATGGCTTCATCGGCCAGGAGCGAAGCGCCACCTAAAATCTCCCTAGAAGTATGGCGCACGAAGAGCCATATGGTAGGGGTAAGCGTTGCAGAGCGCTTAACTCAGGTGTGTTGCGGGTTGATGCCACACACTCCATGGTCATTTCTCCCCCCCTCCCAAAATACAAAAGTCTATTCGTATAGTTATTACATTGTGTACAGTATGGAACCTACCCACATGCCAAATTTCAAGTGTGTTGCATGTTGGGAAGTATGCTAAACACTTAGAACAGACACACATATCTACACATTTCCCTTTTATATATAGACTAGCTTTACTACCCGGTTTCGCCCGGGACTTGGATTCTTGTCTTGGATTAAAACACGGCCTACGCGGAGTGTTTGGGGGGGGGGGGGTGACGTCAGCAAGCACACTGTGTAACGATGCCGCATGCGGGTGTGACATCACAGATGTGATCACAGATGTGATGTCACCGCTCACTTGCATGCAAAATATATGCAATATTGCGCCCCTGCCCCCTCCCCAAAATACAAAAGTCTATTTTTATACTTTTCGCGTTGTGTACAGTCTGGAAGCTACCCACATGCCAAATTTCAAGTTTGTTGCATGTTGGGAAGTATGCTAAACATTTTTAACAGACATTCACAAATTTCCCTATTTTATATACATAGATAAATCAGCATTTTGCGACCCCCACCGCCACCGTGTGGCATGTTATTACGTGCCAGGGACTCTATGAGAGGACAACAGTCCGTGTCCATAATTGGCAATAAGTAACGGCAAAGCAGTTGCAAGCTACTCGCAGAATTGTGCGCAGTGGCATATACAATACACGACTTCCCTGAAAGCATCAACACCTTCAGCGAGCGCGATGCCGAGGTTCTTACTTAATAAAAACTCCTTACTAACAACTCCTATCATTTTTAATTGCTGGAGAGGTTGCCCCCCCCCACCCTAAAATCCTGGCTCCGCCTCTGAGTGTGGACAGTGTCATGTTTGTATTTGCAGTAAAGTCTATTAACTCTATTGAGCACGGAGGTTTTTCCAAAACAGTTTTTTTTCCCTCTGGAACTCTTTGTAAGAATGGAGTCAGGAAGTTATCACAGCACACGTGCAGCAGCAGAAGTCGAAACTGTTCATCCCAGCATTCAAGGACATCTGTGCCTGGCTTCACACCTCTAAGTTGCAATTGAACATTTCTGCATAACACAAATAGTATTATTTTCAACACCCTTTTCTATGTCAGCTGAATTTAGCTTTTATAAGATATCCTTTTCAAGCCAGACAGCCGAAATTGTGTTAACATTCATTTTGAAAATATGAGGGCTTCCAGGCATGTTTATGACCATTTGCTCTCTCATTGTGTGCCATAACAGCCCGTGTGATGAATTTAGGACACTTTTTCACTATATCTGAATAAGTAGACGTGTAAGTCATGTGTTACAGTGTATATATGCATTCCTCTGTGCATCGATACTGATGTGTAGATGGTGTGGATATTCTTTTTTTCTGTCTCCAGCTGCTGCTTCCTCTGTCGCTTCCTCTGCAGAATTTGTCTCATGGAGCAAAGGTACTCGGCGCGGCTCGGTGCAAAAAGGCATCAATGCGACCGGTGTGCATACAGCACGGATTATATTGGCAATTTGACACGGCACCAGAGAACTCACACAGGAGAGAAACCCTTTAAGTGCAGTGTGTGTGGGAAGGCGTTTTCACATTCATTTACTCTTGTAGAACACCAGAGAACTCACACGGGAGAGAAACCCTTCAAGTGCAGTGTGTGTGGGACGGCGTTTGCACAGTCATCTACTTTTGTAGCACACCAGAGAATTCACACGGGAGAGAAACCCTTCAAGTGCAGTGTGTGTGAGAAGACATTTGCACATTCATCTGAGTTTGTAGCACACCAGAGACCTTACACAGGAGAGAAGCCCTTTAAGTGCAGTGTGTGTGGGAAGACGTATGCACATTCATCTTCTCTTGTAATACACCAGAGAACACACACGGGAGAGAAACCCTTCAAGTGCAGTGTGTGTGGGATAGCGTTTGCACGTTCATATACTCTTGCAGAACACCAGAGAACACACACGGGAGAGAAACCCTTCAAGTGCAGTGTGTGTGGGAAGGCGTTTGCACTTTCATCTACTCTTGTAGAACACCAGAGAACGCACATGGGAGAGAAACCCTTCAAGTGCAGTGTGTGTGGGACGGCGTTTGCACAGTCATCTACTTTTGTAGCACACCAGAGAACTCACACAGGAGAGAAACCCTTCAAGTGCAGTGTGTGTGAGAAGACATTTGCACATTCGTCTGATTTTGTAGCACACCAGAGAACACACAAGCATCAGAAGATCCATCAGGAGTGGAGTCTGAAATCAGCTTGTGAAAGTCAAAGTGCTGCAATGAGCCCATCCCTCATGAAACAAGAACCGGAAGAAAATACCAGCTTGGACACTGTTAAAGGTATCGAGGTGAAATATGAAGAGGTGAAGGTGAAATGTGAAGAAGTGATGGTGAAGAGCGAAGAAGTGATGGTAAAATGTGAACATGAAGATTCAAATCCAAAATCGGACCTTCACATCGATGGAGGCAACGTGAAGCAGGAGGAGAATTCTGACTGTGAGGCAGAGCGAGGTAACTCCCAGCAGTTTGTGGAAGTGGAGGTGTGGGTGGACTTCCTCCGAGACAATACAAAGTCAAATGGAGACCCGGTAGATGTATAAGCCAGAGATGATGCCGCTCCAATAGATGCACCTTTGTCACAGGCCTTTAATGACAAGAATGTGAAGTTGAACACTCAATTCCTAGGTGCAACCTGCAGGGTAAGAGCGGCCAGTCTTTGTGGACCTGTGGGTTGGGTAGATCTCTAACCAGGAGTGGGAGCCAATAAGCTCCCAAGCATTCACTATGTTATGAATTGCATTTATATGGTGCTTACTTAATCACCTCGGCAACTCGGAGTTTTGCATCGTATCTCATTTCAAACACTCTAACAGCACCCCCAAGTAGCAGCTGCCCCTGTGTGGCACAAGGTGGTGGCCCTGCACCGGCCTGCATGTGGACAAGAGCCTGTCAGTAGGGGGCGATGGTTGATGTGGCATCTCAGTTGTGGAGTTTGTAGGTAATGTTTGGAATTTGCTACATTTTTACCAAGATGCCAGCATGCAATGGCCGACTCGTTTTGAATGGCGCAATAGTATGTTGTACATACACTGTTAAGCAGACGGTGCGTATTTTTTTTATTAGCTTCTTGTTAATGCGATGTAACCTGATGCAGCATATTCTTGGTTCTTTCGGGAAAGTCACGTAGAAGGGAAATAATAAAATAAAAATTATTTTATTTATTTTATTATTTCCCTTCTACGTGACTTTACCGAAAGAACCAAGAATATGAATCCCTGCAGTCACGAAAGCTTTAAATCAAAATCTGATGCAGTATATTTCAGTGCAGTAATTAAATTTTGTTAACATGCCTGTCAATAATTTTGAATGAATACTTGTCTGATGGTGTGCGTACATGTAACATTTTGTCTATAAGGGTCAAACATTGAATAAGTGATGTTAGGACACAGTGTGTGTTTTGGAAGTAACCTGTACAGATAACTCAGGTGAGACTTGTTCTTGTGATACAGGTCAAAGGGTATTTTTGTGTTTTCAGGAAGCATCTCCCTCTGGAGCAACTCCTTGTCTTTGAAATAGGGAGCACACTCGGATCATTCATCAGTTACAAGGCATACCACTCAAAAGTTACACGTAGAGGAGATACATTCTCTACAACACGGATTATAATTTTGTATTACTTGTTGACGTAGATTTTGTCGAATTAGGACGAGAAATGCTCCTTACTGATTAAAGTCTGGATGTTGACAACCATGGGTTGAAGCAAGCCGGACCGCCTGCGGTGCCCTCTCACAACCATTTACGGTCTTGGGCCAGGAAAGTCACGAAAAAAATTGCACATGAACGACGCATCCACGCAAGCACCCGATGCTCCGTTTTGAAGTTTTAAAATGAAACAACTTTGAATTGTATTATGTTTTGAATTTGATAATTGTATTTCTTAATTAAAATCGGATATCATTTTACATCTGGAAGACTTAATTGAAAACGACATTTCGTGTGAATTTTCTCTCGTCGTTAAGTAGATGGCTTTGCTGGGTGTGCGGTTCGATGCGGACTTTCACCTGGTTGGGATCACGGGATCGAGAAAAGGTGACAGAGCTGGCCGTGCGAGAAGACCGCCGTCTGCAGATCAATTCCAACGCGATCAAACGTCTGTCCCTGCGCCTCCGTTGTTCATGCAGAGGGTGCGTAGGTTTGCAGCGCCCCTTGCATGAAAACGACGGAAAGTGCAGCGTTCGTCACAGATAGATGAAGTTGTGCGCTTATATGGGTTTTCAAAGTACCTTCGTCCTGCAGAAATCTATTTCGCGTGAGCCCACCGCATTAAAACAATGCTCAGCTGAGCGGGGCGAGCCACGGGGGGAGGGGGGGGGTCACCTCATCTTTGTCACGTGCCGTAGCTCACATGACTTCTGCCGCGACAATATCTGGATGTTTTCGCCTGAGGACGACCGCTCGTGTTGCGATCGAAACGTCGTGATTTATTTATTATTTTATTTTTTCTACCTACGTGACTTTTCACCGAAAGAACCAAAGAGTATGAAATACGTCTTGTCTGCTGATCTTGTTCATGTCCGTGTACATCGATATCCCACATTGCTTACACTACACACCACACACAATGAAATAGAAACTAGGACGACTTCCGGGGATGGGCAAAGATCGAGGAAACTCTTTCAATGGAGCGAGTTCAGTGTGTTCGATTCAACATCTCTCTGTCCGTCTGTGTCTCTGTTCGACTCTGTGTGTCTCTCTCTGCCTCTCTGTGTCTATGTCGTCTCTGTATCTCTGTCTCTGTGTTCCTCTTGTCTGTGTCTGTCCGCCTGTCTTGTCTGTCTCTGTGTGTCTGTCTATCAGCGTCTGTCCAACCTGAGTCAACGAATGTCAGTAGCAGCAGGCTCCCGTTCAACTCCCACGACTACACGGGACTCAAACTTGCTCCCAACACACAAAGACAAATAAATCCCGTATAGCCTGGACAGACTGTAGGGGCAAGTGCTGTTAGCGAGCACCTAACACAAACACAAAGATCCCCAATATAGTCTAAACAGTTTCATTTTCATTTATTTGGTATAGCCCTGTGAGCCATTCGGCTCTTGAATCGGGTGTAACCGCGACAAATGAACAAAAACATGTACAAGAAAACATCTCAAAGTGACTATGCGCAAACAGAAAAATCCATGGAAAACTGCAAAGTCTTCCAGAAAAAAGCACCGTACACCAACGCTGTGCAAAAATCCCAGTGGGATGCAAGTCAAACAACAACAATCACAAGACTACTTAGATTAAAGCCATCATTCTAACTCCATACTACAACAAACAAACATGGCTAAACCAAAAAACTTTTGAAATCACCAAAATAAAGCCATAAGAAATGTTACAGTGATCATAGGAACTGTGACCGAAATTTCACAACAAACGACAAAAAACATGTACCACCAAACCCTGTAGCCATAGCTGGCTGCATTAGTCACTCCACAACAGCAGGAGCATCAGTAGGAGTATAAAAACAATTTCAAATGCACCTTTAAAGATCAAAGATGGAGAGCTCTGAAATCAGCTCGTATGCAGGTGCTTCGTGAATTGTTGCATTGCAAGAAAATTTGATGACAGCTTGGAGAGGCCTCCATCCAGCATTGGATTTAATTATGGTTGATAATGATGAACATGAATCTATAACTAAGCTTTGCCGCCTGTTTACTTAAAATACTCGTCTGAACTGTATCGCCACTAGGTGGCACCATATTACAATTTACTCCAATTCTGGCAATATGTTCAGGAGATAAATGAAAATGTCGAGGTCTGTTAGCCAGAAGAGGGCTTCGGGAGAGAGTTGGTGTAGTTTTGTTATTCCTTGATTGCAGGAACGAAGACTACAGTGGTTTACTATGTGGTTTACTGTATTTACCGGGTAAGGTTGCCCTTTGGGTTTATTGCCGACGCAGCTCAACAACATAAGCAACATAAGCGGGCTTCCTCATTGCTCTGAACGTGAACCAACGCTAACGGACGGCGCAGTAGCAATGATATGCCCTCGCGGCTGGGAACGGAAACGCACCATCCCTGCAGATAATTGCCATAAACCTCGACTGCCGCGGGGACATCCCAAACAAATACAATCAGTTGGAATGTTGCCATAAAACAAACCGTCCTGGATTGTTTAAAACTATTTCTAAAGATTTCGATTTAAAGCTTTCGTGACTGCAGGGATTCATCTTCTTGGTTCTTTCGGTAAAGTCACGTAGAAGGGAAATAAAATATTAAAAATAAAACATAATAAAATACAATTCTCACGACGTTTCGGCCACAACGCAAGCAGCCGTCCTCAGGTGAAGAACAGGGCTGTCGGAAAGACAGCGTCTAAATGAACACCACCAAGCTTGGCAGCGTATATTTAAGCTGCTGGGTTAGAGGAGGAGGGCGCCTTGACAAAGGAATTTGCATATCAACGTGCAAAAAAAACCGCACACAGTTGTAATGTTCGGGCCTTTAATAACCCTTGAACAAGATCAAAATTTACATCTTGTTTGGGGCGGTGTGTCAGTTGTAAAGGTCACAAGGCTATCACAATTTGTTCAACAAATTGTGCAACGCAACAGTAAATTCCTCTCCACTTAGAGCAAGTGAAGGATAATTTATTCCATCAAGCGGTAATATTTAACTCTTAGGTTATTTCATTGTTGCCGTTGTTGTGATGGGAAATGAACAGAAACACATTCCTGCAGAGGGAGCTGGTAGGAACATTGGGTTGCTCGGTCAATGACCAGGGTCAACGGCGGCGTGGTGTATTCCGCAAATATGCCCGACTGTGAGGGAGGGGCACAAGCCGGCGTGAGTAGGTTAAACGTTGAGTTTTATAAGGGCACCACGGGGTGACCAGCCCCTCCCCACCCAGCCCCACCATCCCCTCCCCACCCACCTCATCGGCGTCAAACGCCAGGGGGAGGTGTGCCTCGCTAGTGACGTCATGTCACCAAGGTATTCACCCCACCCCCGACCAACGCGCTCTTGAGCGTGACGTCACCTCTTCTTGGCCGCTGCCGATATCTTCCAGTGCCAATCCTTATTTGGGCGAAGCTACGCCCGGTGACTGGGGGTTCATTAACATAATGTATTCGGATCTTAACTGATTGTGTTCACGTTTACGGTGACTTTCAGACCACAGTCCACTCACTGGCATTGACTATATATCTTGTATTCTCCACAGGGAATGGATTCTTTGCTCCGCTGCAAGTCTCCTACCACCACTCTCCCATTGACATATTTTGTTGCTTCCTCTTAGTACCTTTCACGCGACGGTCAATGGTATAGTGTATAGCAGATTGTATAAATAGTATAAAATTGTAATGTTTAATACAATGTATAAGGTAATATACAGTATCGTAATTGTATAGTGAATATACAGCAGTATGGTATACAGTAGGGTGGGTAGAATAATACTTAGGGTAATATTATAGTCGAAGGTATAGAGTGTGTATAGTAATACAGTATATAATTTAATGTTGGGTTTGTCTATGGTAGTATATAGTACGGGGTAGACCCGTGTGATGTAAGAGAAAAAAGTTTAGCTGGAAGCATATATTTTGTGCGACATAGAATTGTAATGTATTACTTACTGTTAGTAGCTCAGCTTATTGGAGAGTATATTTAGTATACTGATGATACTATGTAGTTTATACTTTAGTTTTTTACGTGGTGGTTTAGTAACTGCAGCTACATACTATTAACATTCCTTCCCTTTGTTAATGCTACGCCTATCCCCTCCCTTTGATGCTGCTAATCCTGCATAATGACTTTGAAACCCCCCGCCCACCTCCTACGCATTTCCCATAAATATGCTAAATTCCTATTGATATGCAAATTATTTTGTCAAGGCGCTCTTCTTCCCCCTCCAACCCAGCTCAAATATACACTTCAAGCTTGGTGGTGTTTCATTCTTCACCTGAGGACGGCTGCTTGCGTTGTGGCCGAAACGTCGTGAGACTGATTTTATTATGTTTTATTTTTATTATTTTATTATTTCCCTTCTACATGACTGTACCGAAAGAACCAAGAACACGCCAACCCCTTTTTTCATCCTTAAACACGCCAACCCCTTTTTTTCATCCCTAAACACGCCAACCCCTTTTTTTCATCCTTAAACACGCCAACCCCTTTTTTCATCCTTAAACACGTCAACCCCTTTTTTTCATCCTTAAACACGCAAACCCCTTTTTTTCATCCTTAAACACGCCAACCCCTTTTTTTGCATCCTTAAACACGCCAACCCCTTTTTTTTCTTAAACACGCCAACCCCTTTTTTTCATCCTTTAACACGCCAACCCCTTTTTTTCATCCCTAAACACGCCAACCCCTTTTTTTTCATCCTTAAACACGCCAACCCCTTTTTTTCATCCTTAAACACGCAAACCCCTTTTTTTTCTTAAACACGCCAACCCCTTTTTTTCATCCTTTAACACGCCAACCCCTTTTTTTTCATCCTTAAACACGCCAACCCCTTTTTTTTCATCCTTAAACACGCCAACCCCTTTTTTCATCCTTAAACACGCCAACCCCTTTTTTTTCTTAAACACGCCAACCCCTTTTTTCATCCTTTAACACGCCAACCCCTTTTTTTCATCCCTAAACACGCCAACCCCTTTTTTTTCATCCTTAAACACGCCAACCCCTTTTTTTTCTTAAACACGCCAACCCCTTTTTTTCATCCTTTAACACGCCAACCCCTTTTTTCATCCCTAAACACGCCAACCCCTTTTTTTCATAAACACGCCAACCCCTTTTTTTCATCCTTTAACACGCCAACCCCTTTTTTTTCATCCTTAAACACGCCAACCCTTTTTTTTTCATCCTTGAACACGCCAACCCCTTTTTTTTCATCCTTAAACACGCCAACCCCTTTTTTTTCTTAAACACGCCAACCCCTTTTTTTCTTTAACACGCCAACCCCTTTTTTAAACGCCAACCTCTTAAACGCCTACCATGTAAACACAACCC